TGACCAATCTTCTTTGCGATCAGGTTCCTCGTCTCCAAAGATAGGGATTCGTCAAACACAGCCAGAGGGACGAGATCCTCAGTTAGGTACCAGGTGTGTCTGTTGATAACCTGCGCTGTGGAACTGGATACTTTCTTGTTCACCTTCGAGAACTTCTGGATTCTCCTGTGCAGCTTTAGGTCGTTGCTGATTTCAGGCAGGACTGATGGAAGTTGACCAATCTTCTTTGCGATCAGGTTCCTCGTCTCCAAAGATAGGGATTCGTCAAACACAGCCAGAGGGACGAGATCCTCAGTTAGGTACCAGGTGTGTCTGTTGATAACCTGCGCTGTGGAACTGGATACTTTCTGCTCCAATCACAAGCTCCATGATGTGATGACGGCAGGCGAGCCACAGGAGTTGACGGGAAAGGAGTTGCTGAAGAAGGACACAGCTCCCATTTCGTATCCCTGTATTGGAGGATGTGGTATCGAAACCACAAGCTATGATCTTATCCGTCAACTCCCACTCGTCCAGGACTGCTTTGACCGTCTCTGCCTCCACCTTCCCAGTTGAGGATTCAGTCTTAGTGATGCTGAGGATCTTGTTCTCCGGATGCTGAATCAGGACAACAGCTAGTCTGTTCACCTTCCCAAAACCGTACAAGTTTGGTAGGAGCTTCCCGTCGAAGTTTATCTGACCGACGTCACAGGTATAGTTCTCCTTGATCGTAGCAGCAACCTCCTTCCTCGCAGTAGCCCGATGTCGTCTTGCTGTAGATTTACTGAGAGATATTTTGTTAATGTCCCCACCCCCGTGATTAGAAATTGCTGCAAACATACCTGTCATCTGAGAGTTGGAGAGATTTAGCCGGTCAGCAACAGGGCCCAGCTTCTTTAAGCAGTCCTTGGAGATGTCGACTGTAGTCCCAGATGGGCGAGAGCAGAGGCGTTTAGGCGTGTACTCCTCCGTAGAGGATATCGAGTTCTTCGAGTCACCGTCGGGAGAGGGTTCCAGGGTGAGCGAAGAGGAAGGTTGAGGTGTAGTAGCTGTAAGGGAAAACTTGAGAGATTTCTCCGCTCGTGCTAGTTTCTTTTCCACTGCTACTTTAGTTTGTAAATCCCTTGTGGAAGAGATCGTGTTCTGCCAATGGTTAAGAAGGAAATCACGGTCTTCCTCTGTGATGAGATTGGATGACCTTAGGGAGGGATTTGTGATGTCGAATAAGCTGTCCAACGTCGATAGGAAAGCGGCTTCCTTCTTCTTATGGGCTTCGGTTCCTCGTCGAGATGTAGGAATCTTCATGATTTGCTTGTAGTCGAAATGAAGTTCTATCATACGTTTGGTAATAGTAGATCGACAGTTCAAGATATCTCCGTATCCAGCGTACTCCCAAAGCTCCACCAGTTCGGTCTTTACAATCTGGACAGCTTCAGTTAAGCTCAAGCTGCCGTGATTCTGCTCCAGCTCGAACATGATCCTCCGAGTAACTGCGCCATATGTTGGGAGTTTAGAGAACGACAGCTTCTCAAGCAGGGTTGAAAGAAGGGGAAGTTCTCTTCGTGGTAGTTTTCGTTTAGGCATGTTGAATGTTGATTGTAGAGATTGATAATTAGATAGTTATTGATAATTATCATTCGGCTATATAGTACAATTAACTGTGCTGTCAGCTATAATCAACAACAGAGTTGACACCATGTTGGTTCAAAAATCAACATGTTGCCAACTGTTGAGGGTGGCACCTGTTGTGGGTGGCACCTGTTATGGTCCTGACACCCACCTGTAAATCATGTGATCGAGGATGGTCTATATCGTCTATGCTAACTTGAAGGGAATCCCACTAATGAAATATCCAGCAGATAATTATTAAATATATCTTAACAGGTAAAATCTATAAAATTGTTGATTAAAGCATGAAGTAATGTGTTTGAGACATTGTTGATGTGCTTTCCTAATAGTAATGGTAGAAAAAGGTTAACTTTAGTCGAAGTCTCATGTCTCTACGACCTTTAGTTTTGGCGCAACAAATCTCGCGGCGGAGGCGCGAGACGCGAGATCCGGTGCGCCTAAACCAAGCGCCGTGGAGACTTGAGACTTTGACTAAAGTTAACCTTTTTCTACCATTACTATTAGACCCCAAACTGTTGGAGCACTAAAAGCACTCCTTCATGCCTAAATTGATGATATGAAGATTTTTACCTGTTAAAAATTGATGAAAAAAATGGGCGTGGCATGTGGGGGTGTTTCCGGTTGGAGTTGAAGCTTCAAAATTTTTTTGGTAGTTATTTGGCCTAAGGAACAACAGATAAGCCTATCGCCGTAATTATTGGATAATATTTTTGTTTTATGAACCGGGCTAATAACAACACTGTACGTTTACAGAGTGCAGTTTGTAATACTTGATCCATTACAATCCTCGGTAATTAAGTAATTAAGTAATTACCTGACCCCTAATTGTCAGACGATAACCACATGACCTACTCAACAATACGCTCAGGCAGGTGATTTTCTAAATATAGATTTAATAGTAAGCCTCACAATGCTAGCTGGAACTATAATAGGTAATTATAGTTAGTTGGTCATTAGTATAACTCTATTAGTCTACTAAGCTACTAAGGTACTAGACGCTGAAATCAACATTTTTCCATTCACCCTTTTGTAAAAAGGCAATAGTGAAAGGTTACGAATGGACGTTTTTGCAGAAAAACGTGGATTTTGGAGATAGTGGTAGGCGGGTCTGAATATGGTGTCAGTTCGTTAATTACCATGTGATAACTAGTGCGCAGTGAAGCGCGAGTGTATTGCTTGCGGAGATGTAATGTATATAGCTAGCATGTCAATGAATGCGCGGCGCGATCAGAGAATTTTAATGTATACTATGTAATGTATAGCATTACGTAATAAGCCCAATTTGTACGTGGCATGCGTAATATAGTGTACTGATGTGTATCAATATTATTATTATGAAGTGATCTGATTGGAGCTTATATTTATAGTTATTGTAATTGGAAATATAGCGTCCGCAGTCCGCCAAAACGAAACAACGGGCGCAATTCTTGTTCAATGATAAATCTCTGCAAAGGGGGGAAAGGCTAAACAGAAAAATAAATTATGAGGGACATAAAGAAGAAATAAATCCTCGTGTTTGACAACAGTCTTCAAATATACAAGTTTTATCCTTTGTAACTGCGGAGTGCGGGGCCTGTAGTTATGGAAAATTAAAGCATTATCTAATTATAATAGTATAACGATTAACGGTAGTACATGTTGTTCCGTTCAAGGACAAAAGAAAATCGCGTTTATTTACACCAAAAATCACGGTGCCACGACAAGCAAAACTCTCGAAAATCGCGGCATGCATATTTGGTATATTTAAGGTACAGTTCAAACGAGCTTGATTATGATATCCTAATCATATGACTGAATTTTTTAAAGAAACGAATCACTAATTGGGCTACTGGGATCAGGGATATACTAATCTTACGACTGGATGTTAAAAATGAAGAGGAGTAATATTAATTTATTGTATTGTGAAACTTAAATTTAAAATATTATACCGGCCAGACTTCTGCGGGCTAGAAAACTTGGAACAGTAAACAAAATATTAATTTGATTCACAGAAATAAACTCGCTGTTCCATTTTGGCACGGTACCCCGAACAAACCAGTTTATGCTACTCTATCGCAGATTTGGTTCGCAATCCACCTTCATGATGAGGAGATACAGTTATTATCTCATAGTCACGTGATAGTAGCTGGCAGAGTCACGGGATCGAAAAAGGATTATTAGTGAGATAAAAGTCAGATTATATACGACTATCCTATGTAATCTGATAACAATATTTTGTTGAGTAGACTGAGTACGACTCTTGGATTAACCAATGGCATTGCTCCATTGTAATCACGTTATACTGTCCTAGGTATTCTCTCAGAACAATGGAATCGGAGGGTGAGATCGAAGCATCAGAGGGGTTGTTCACTTAATCGATATGTAAACGTGTGGATCTCGTAGTAGGCCAAGTAGCTCTCCTCACAGGCAGACAGGCTTGGTCTCTAAACGTGTGGCTCTCCTTACAGACTGGTTCTCTTTAAAGTTCCAACAGACTTGCTTTAACCTGAACCAGAGCCCTCTCACACTTATTGTTGATGGATGGTACTCGTCTAAATTGCTTCGAAGTAGCGCGCAGCTTTCTTCTCGAAACGTGCGCCGGGCTAGTCCATTATTATTACCCTATTGACATACTTAAAGATATTATGGATCAGATCGAAGCTGAAACATATGAACGTGGGATTCTTACTTTCGACAAAGAATAATCGAAATAGAACCGATTAGGAAACATAACGTTTTATCACAACGTATTAAAATTTAACTTTTTTGCAATATAAATCTCTCGCTTTTAATAATTCCGTTCATCTAAAAATTATTTATACGCCACATCAAGTCATTCATTCAATTTCAATCGAAAAATTATTAGACGTCATTTCAGTAATACCATTTGAGTAATACCATTGTCCTTAGCTGCTAAATTATTTAAGTTGACTTTTTCAAGTACAGATGAGTGCATTCATTCTGGTGAGGGAGGAGTTTTATTGAGATTAAAATAGAACTCCCGTCTCGCTTTCATATTAAAAAGAAATAGCGTCAAAACTATTATTACCTTAGGTCAGTGGTCACTACAATCCTGGAAGAAGAAGCGACCGATTTCATTCTCGGTATCATTTTGTATTTACGGACGGTCATTCAAATTAATATCATTCACTTTTGTCTGGAAAAGAGAGACACTGGCAGCGGTCCACTCTACCCAATTATGGGTTTTAGTCAAATTAACAACCAAAATTTGTTGGTGTGCACTTAGACGTATACGCATTTTAAACCAAACACTAAGTTTGAAACACTAGGTCATGCACTAGGTTTGAAACATTTCAATCTAACCTATTCTTAAATGCTGAGCAATTGAGGATGCAGCATTTAGAGATTTTAAGATTGGTTGGATCTAATTCCGATGATGTAAACACATGATGTCAGTTCAAAATCTATGTTTGTTCAAAATATTTCTAAATATAACAGTTCCTCTTTTTTTAATTCACAACATCCTGTCGTACTGCTCAAACTTTTAAAAAGGACCAAAGCCTAAAATCAAAAGTTATAGTAAACAGATTATCATTCATCAAAGAGTAATAAGTAACCATGGTAACCATGGTTAAGTAACCATGGCAATAAGTAACCATTCAGCATACCAACGTTTCAACAAAACATAAGTTGTAAAACTGAATGAAAATTTAGTGCATAATCATGCATAAACAATAATGGAGATACAGTGCAGATTAAAAATACTAAGTACAAACGTAGTACTGTTGTTATTGGCAACAGACAAAAATAAGTCTCTTAATAAAACTAAAGAAAATGTTCCTCATGCCACTAGCAGCCCAGTATGAAAAATCCCCAAAGATAACATAAAATTAAGACTTAAATGATCGAAAGCGATTTTCATGAAAATTGTTTCAAATCACAGCCAAAAGTTTTTGTCAACTTGAGATTTACTATGGCTTCACAACAACAACAAAAAACAAAATCTGAATAACAATTTAAATGGAAACAAAAAGAGAAGAAAACATCTCAGTTTAACATTTACAAAGTTCATCGCGCGCGCCAATTATACCCTAACGAAAATAAAGCAAATATTTCGTATACCAAATGATTATCCACTCCATCCACGCCTCCAAAGAAAAAGTTAAGTGTTTACCAAATTTAAAATAAGATTATAACATAACCGACATTCCCGTCCAGCCTACAAAACTGCTCTCACACCTTCACTCAACATCCATAGTATTCTAATGCGTGCATTAGCTTGTTGTCATGACGACAAACAGCATTATCACTTTCTATTTCATCTCCTCTCCTTCTCCATTCTCAATGCCTTCGTAAGCGGAGGCGTAGTGGGGGTTGAAGACGAACTCGTAGACGAGACCACCAATAGCAGATGCGAGGATGGGCCCAAGAATGTAAGCCTGTGGTAGTAAAGTAAAGTAGAGGACAAAATAGATCATAGTTTTGTTGAAATCACTAGTTCCGTGTAGTGAAATTTAACAATCCATCTAACATTAATTGCATCAACAAGACTTAAGTTGCAACAACCCATAACAAAACACATCAAGATATAATTAATCTAAAGCTAATAAATCAATTAAGTTAATGAATATAAGGGCGACGGTAATGCTTGCCAGCATTGTGATAAAATGAGCTTACGTAGAAGTCTCCCTTAATCTCTCCAGCTACAATGTTGGTAGCGAGGGCTCGGGCAGGGTTAATTCCACATCCAGTCAAAGGAATCTGAGGAAGATAACCATAAATAAACAAGGTGTATGGAAATATACTTATTGGGATTAGATACTTAATGCTCAAATGACGAAATTGAAGGAGGCAACCATATATAAACGAGGTATATGAAAATTGTATTGGGACAAGGGATAATGGACCAATTATGAATTGGGACAAGGGACAAGGGACCAATTATAAATTGGGACAAAGGATAAGGGATCAATTATAAACCAATTATAAACCAATTATAAACCAATTATAAACCAATTATAAACCAATTATAAACCAATTATAAACTAATTATAAGCCAATTATAAACCAATTATAAACCAATTATAAACTAATTATAAACCAATTATAAACCAATTATAAACTAATTATAAGCCAATTATAAACCAATTATAAACCAACTATAAACCAATTATAAACTAATTATAAATCAATTATAAACCAATTATGAGCTAATTATAAGCTAATTACAAAGAGGGCAGTACTCACGAGGAACATGTGAGCGACAAAGATAGCGATACCGATAGAAAGGGGTTGGAGGTACCCAGCAGCGTGCCCTCTCTTGTCATTAATAGTAGCCAGGACAGTCAGAACCAGGAAGAGAGCACCGAGGAACTCAAGAATCAGTCCTTTAAATCCGGAGACGGACATGGCGACTACTCCTGGAGTACTGCCGAACACAATCTTCAGGACCACTGCGAGGTTGGGTGATTAGTATTAGTTAATTCACCTTATTAAAGAAATAAGTCCGTCAATCAAGAAATAAAAAAAAGTTCATAAATCATATATTATCAATACTTCGGACCAAGCATTTCGAAATTTTATAGTTTCAATTTCAGTAGATTTCCACAACGCTAAACAAGTGGTTAGAAACGGTCACCATTGGACTATTCACGTTTCGACATAACCATGTTAATCATGATAACATTAACATTGTTAATTCATTCACGATAAAGTTCATTCCAGCCCACCCCACGTATAATAATTAACAAATCTCACCAGCACCGATGATTCCACCAATGATCTGAGCAACAGAGAGGATAGCAGCACGGTACAGAGAGAGTTTACGAGCAAAGAAGAGTCCGAATGAAACAGCGGGGTTGAGTTGTCCTCCACTGATGTCAGAAAAGAGATGTACTATTCCACCAATACCTGCAGGAGTATATCCATGGTTACACTTCTAACCATAGTCCCAGGTCAATATCTTTTTCGAATGGTCGTACTCAGACTTTCCAAATGTCTTACTTACCAATTATCGAATTAACCGTAAATTTAATTAACCGTGACTTTATTTAATTAACATTTTACTGACCGCCGTTGGACCAAGATCAGCTGGTGTGGAAGAGCAGAGATTTTAATTTAAACAATACATGTCAACAAGGGAATAAAAACTCTAATGTACTTTTTATTAATGGAAATTTCGTCAAAATTAATTAATGAAACGTATCATGAATTAATCTCGTGATAATTCTAAAACAATAACATGGCAAACGGTCATGAACAAACCTTTATTCTGATTAGAACTTTCTACATGCTAACGTATTTGACTCTTAAAAGCAATAGAATGAAAGGGTGAAGTTCCTTATACCTACATTATGTTTATCTATCACATGCTTTATAGTTGTTAGTAAGCCGCTTACGAAAATTCAATGCACACAGTTCTACTTGAGTCGCTTGCTGCCTCTCTTTGCAGACGTTTTACTGTAAGTGATGATGCAGTGAGTCTAGCTAAATGGGTTTGTTCATGAGCGAACCTGTGACCGCCTTCCGCTCTGTATTTCTCCAAGATTTTCTTAAAGAACGGTTCAGCAACAATCAGTGGCGGCCCATTAAGCTTTAAAAACATCTCTTTCTGCAGTCTTGTATCATCGAATTTTGGATCGCCGTTGGAGAAGCGACCATGATATGTCTCCATTATGGATCCAAATGTTTCCATAAGTGCCTCTGATGTAGGGATAGTCATAACTTTGACTAAGAGGAATAGGGCACCCTTTAGACACTTGTCCCAGTAACTGCGAGATGTGAATAAACATTTGACAACACGGTCAAAGGTTACAACGAGATTTCGACGGGTTACTTCTTGCTTTGCTAAGTTCAATTGCACTTTCAAATCATGCAGGGCAACTTGAGTTATATGGTGCCTTAAACTCGAAGGAATGAGCTGCTTAAGTATTTCCAAATTCAGACCTTTGTTTGGATTATAATTTGGTAATAAAGACGGGACTGTCAGCCAAATATTAGAGGTGCATTGTGTAGAATGTTCGGCTTGGCGAGCTTCAGGGTAAAAGTTCTCACAGTCAGCACACATTTCATGACCTCGTGTTATAAATGATTTTTTCTGTTCTTCAATGTCGTCCGTCAAGAAGTTTAACAATGCGGCACAATTTGGTAGAAGCCGTTTTGTATCATCTTTCCAGTACCCATTCGCAAACCAGTAACCAAGAGTATATCTCTTTAGGAGATCAATAAATCGGTTACAACATTGAACTGCTGCTCTCACTGTATCTGGGAATGTAGTAGGAGTAAATCTTCCTTGGCGGAGCAAATAACGAGGACCAAAGTACTGCGATGGTCCAGATTGAACTGTCCGACAAAAATGACTGAAAATGAATCTTTGGTCCACAGGCATTGTAGTTGTATCATAGGAAAGATGAATATTGGACAAAAACTCCTTCAGCATCACCGTGAGATTATAATACTGATGAACAAAGAGGAACTTATCCTGAAATTTTAGGCTGAATGCAGATAAAGGCTTCATAACATCTATAAGGAATGACAGGATTAGGCCGAATCTTGGACAGTTTATTTGAGTTAAATAGGCTTTACATGTAGATGCTAATTTATGAGTTGAATTTGAAACATTTGTTAGGGCATCAACTATCACAGGCTTCATTTTCTGAAAAGTTTCTAGCTGGTCTAAACCATGTTTTAAGAACTTTAAATCTTTTAAAGTTTTGGGTTTCAGGAACGGAGTCCCCATGGAGCGAGATGAGGCGAGATATGTCTCAAATATGTTATTCTTCAGGATATTATTGACTTTCTTGACGATATAACGTACATTTTCTACAGCCCAAGAGTTTCTTAATGCATGCTTGAAGATGAGGTCCACGATATGTGCCCCGTCCCAAACTTCAGTTGCTTGAGGGTCGTCGCTATTTATACCGTAAGATGCTCTCAAATGATCGTGAAGTTTCAAGTTTAGGTATTGACCGTCATAAGCTGACCCAGAGTAGCCCTCTGTAAACTGGGTATTCAGGATTCCGTATTGAGTCAACTGTTCTTTTATTTTCGTTGAGAGATAGAACCCGTCAAACTGTTGACATGCTGGATGTCCAACGTAAACATAGTTAATGAAAGGGGTGGATAACGAACTATCGAAGCAAGGAAAACGAAAACCAGCTAGTTGCCTTGACCTACTCTGAGATTTATCTTTATCACAGGAAATACCAAAAGTTATTACTGTCCCAAATGGCGTAAGTGAGGATAAGTAAGCTTGAAACCTCCCGAGAAGTAAGTCATATCCACAATCTATAATCTTAGGTGGAAATGCAGGGGAATGATTTTGAAACCCAACATTGGTTTTTTCCTGGTAACGTGCTGCAACCGAAAGCGGGAAACTTGCGTATGATCTCTGGGATTTTACATTCTCATACACCATTCTAATCAAGTTAAGCCCGGCCCCTGTATCCGAAGTTATGAATGAGGGTATTAAATTCTGCCTTGTCAAGTAAGTTTTTGCATTTTCCTGATGTCTTGGTAACTGTATGTGACGTTTTAAGGCACTTTTCATGTCTTTCCAGCGTCGAGTAGTTGTGCGTCTATTGGTTCCATTTGTTGCAGTGTAGACTGAGGCTGGCACTCCAAATGAGGTGTTATCACAGCATAAGCATTCAATATCGCCCTGATTATTTATTCGAAAGAGTGGTTCTGCTGTGGTTATGTCACTAATACATGTAGCATTTTGCAGAAGATTTAGTTTTTGGTCTGTTCGAAGTATATCTGTATGACCACGTCTGTTAATTCTACTATTAGCATTCAATGTTGGTGGTATTGCCACTGTTGCTCGAAGACCTGGAGGAATGACGCCACGTGACAAACCCGAGAAGGCAACAGAGGGTCTGTGTACTGTTTGCTGTAAATTCTGGCCCATGGTGTGTTGAACGGATGATTGTTGAGTACTAGGACTGAGAAAATTCAACCAATAAACAGCATTGTTCCAAGCAGTTTGATTGTCCACAGCTGTAGATGATGTTACATTTCCTGAATTGTGGCGTGACGAAGAAGGCAGTAATGGTACTGCACGTGTGGCCGGTAATATTGGATTTAAGGTGACAACTGATGATCTCGGCTGAGAGCCTAGATTTGTGGAAACTCCTGTTACCGATCTGAGGCGAGGAACTGAAGCTGATGTTATAGTTGCTATAGGAAATCTGAAAGTTGCACCAATCTGGGTATTGGGGACACTTGGACCAGCTATCACTGCACCAATCTGGGTATTGGGGACACTTGGACCAGCTATCACTGCACCAATCTGGGTATTGGGGACACTTGGACCAGTTATCACTGCACCAATCTGGGTATTGGGGACACTTGGACCAGTTATCACTGCACCAATCTGGGTATTGGGGACACTTGGACCAGCTATCACTGCACCAATCTGGGTATTGGGGACACTTGGACCAGCTATCACTGCACCAATCTGGGTATTGGGGACACTTGGACCAGCTATCACTGCACCAATCTGGGTATTGGGGACACTTGGACCAGCTATCAATGGCTGAAGAGCTACTGGATGAATGGGACCTGGAGGAAGTGTGACTAATGGTTGCACTGGTAAGGTAAACAAATGAGGTCTTGTTGCAACGAAAGGAAACCCTCCTCTCGATGAAGGAGGGTGAGATGGTTGGGACGAGATCGGCGCGGCCAAACTGCGTAGTGGTAACGTCTGTTGTCCTGGTAAATTGTCCCGTACAGTTGTCCAGAGCACTTGCTGGTTTCTGAAGCAATTTTCGCGAATCAGTTTTACAACTGTTTAAATTAGTAACGTCGATCATGATGCAGCTATTCAAGCAGATAATAATTGGAGCACGAAAGTTCAATAGAATCCTACCCCTGACTATCTTAGCTCACGTGAAAAATCAAGATAGGTCCTGGTTTTTTGCACACTGACGTCATACTCATGTGAGCAGTGATCATAAAAATAAATGGTCTCGAAAGAAAAAAATAATCGGCATAAAAGCATGATACTGCAAATGCAATAAAATTTAACCTGTGATCACGTCGACTTTCATGTTGTTTCTTGTTATTGTCCTTGAGAATTGATCCGCAATGTGAGCAGCGAACAGTTTTTCTCTGACGAGATACATAAGCCATAAACTTCTGTCGACTACGTTAGTATCATTTAATGAATGTAAAGTTAACCTCGAAACCAAGTAAATAATTGAATAGGTGCAAATACATTCTTCCAAGCTTGAGATTCTAGCTTATTTATTCATTCGACATTATAACGGTGGAAACCTACCTTATATTGCAAACTTGCTGAGAAACTGTGGCCACTAAACCGAAAGTTAGATCCGCAAATACAATTGGTAGTACAATGCAAGAAATCCTTGTATCTCAATGAATGGTAGGATGGCCCTTAATAACAGTCACTGATTAAAGTCTAAGTCTCATGAATCATGATGTCAACGTCAATAAGCAATGAGAGGATAACGAGCAGTTGGTAAAGCCGTTCACCGTTAAGATATCTACTACCAACTTTACTGCTACTTCAGAATCATTGATAAAGTTATTAAACATAGACCAACTTCAATCTGAATTAACATGTTTATAATCATGTCATCTTTAATATGATAATATTCAAAATTAAGTGAACAATCAAACGGCAAACCGGAAAGTAATTTTTCCCTGCGGTAATGAAGTGATGACAACAGTCAACACATTTAGACTTTCACTTCCTCCGAATTTGAAATTATATGTACACTCTCTCCGCGTTCTCTCGATATCCCGGCTAGGTCTGCGGCGGTCTGTGCCTGTCTTCAACTAGTTATTCTATGTGATGTTATGATAGCACCGCGTCCTCAAAAAAATTAGTGGCACTCAGCCGTACTCATGGAACTCAAAACGTATCAAACTCAAAGTATCGAATTTGCAATCAAGACCAAGACCAAAATTACCCTCAATATTAAAGTATCAAGGGAAACCGAAATAAACTTATGAAGACAGTACGGAGCCTTGCTCTGCCCGGGGACGGAAGGAATTCTCAAAATTCAAACATGAGTGTAGTGTGATGATTATAGTGTTATAGTGCCGGCGGGCCCGCCAATGTGTCCTAAATCGATTCTATTGTCATTATACGAAGAACGTTTATGATTCAATCTAGCATAAATTCGCTAAACTGGCTGCGCTAAAAATGTTTAAAATGACAAATTTTCAAACTTTTCACCGAATTCGGTCGTACTCATTGGTCTTGCTGAGTACAACGATATTGACCTAGGACCATAGTAACACTACACTTGTAACCATAGTAACACTACTACTACACAGTTACTGCAGGAGTATATCCATGGTTACACTTATACAGGTAACAATAGTAACAGTGCTACTACTACACATGGTTGCACTTAAGTACAGGTAACCATAGTAACACTACTACTACACAGTTACTGAATTATAGCTGGACTCTGGAGCTAGCAATAAATAATGAATAATGAATAATGAATAATGAATACTGAAGCAACCTTAAACTCTTAAAATTTACTGTAGACGTCTGAACTCTGAGCAAGTCAGTGTGAGCAATCAGTAATGGCGAGGATTAACATTATCTGATCTGATTGTTTTATTGATAACTTTGTTTTAATGAATTGGTTAACATGACTAACCTAGACCGAAAGCGAATCCGATTTGAAGAATTCTGGCAGATCCCAAGATTTCGTCCGCGGGTTTGTCAGTAATAGCACCCTGTACACCTGCAAATTAGAGAAATTAGAGAAATTATAGAAACAGTAGTAATTAATTAATCACCTAATAGCTTGGCGTCTCATTTCTGAGACAAACAAAAAACATAAACATAGTTTTTTAAATAGTAAGCATGCGGTAATAACTTCAATATTTATGTACTCTATTTATTAATGGTTGCGTCTCTGTGACCAGCTTTTAAGTGATAACTGAAATTAAATAATGTATTTAGGAATGTTTTTTAATATATTGAAACTTGTTAAAAACTGTCGTCATTTTATGCGGTACACCCTGTATTTTTTAATTTAATTATCAATTTACATTGTAATACTAATATTTAACATGATATTGATAGTTAATTATCTATATACCTCCACATCCTAGGATGATTAGGAAGAATGTTCCCAGCATCTCTGCTATAATCTCCCTCACTAGTTTCATACTAATGCACCCGTCATCGTCGATAATCTTGAATCCGAAGATAGCTACGCCCATTGTTCACAAGTTTCTAGATTGTGCGAGATTGTTAGCTTATTATTATTAAATAAACGTTCTAAACAATGGATAGTTAAGAACAACGCCCAAGTCTAATCCTTCCTTGAAACAAATAACTAAAAATCAAAACTTCACTGTAGGTTCTGCCAATATCCCTTGTTAAATTATGGAGGTATTATGGAATCTAATATAATTATTTCACAGGTTTCAATGGCAAGAACATAATTTAAATTTTATGACATTTATTACAATAATAATTATCGCAATGCAATTTAATTCGATATCTAAAGGAACGTGGAAGCTGTATGCGCATGGTTTACATTATTTAAATAACTATGAAATTGAATCTTCAAGATGAGTAACGAATAACGATACAAGGAAGGTTGTGAGGTAACCATGGAGCTAAAAGTGTTATTACTCAACAGCAAGGTCTGTAAATAAATTAAATTAAATAATATAAACTGTCACAAATAAGTTACCGTCATAGAGTTTCAATAATATAAGACATCTAAAAATAACAGGAATGTTGACAGAAATTCAGCATAACGCCGTTAATTAATATAATAATAATATTATTAATAAAATTAAACGGATAATGCTGAAAATTCGTGTCCGATCTGGCGGCCGACGACTACACTTCGAGAACAAACAATTGTGGCAGCTCAGATTACACATTCTGCACTATATATTGAAACAATTTCTATAACAATTTACTGAAAAGCGAGTGTGACTTTTCACATCTCACTGCTCTGAAAGAATCTTCATGAATAATTAAATTCGAGTGTTGGCGGTTAAACTTAAGACTCTCTAGACATGCAGTGTACAGATGGTCGTCACTTCCAATCACGACAATGCGAACAGTGTGAAACAAAAAATGTTCACGGAGCCATAACTTCGCTTCCCAACAATTTGCAGAGTTAAAAATGAGCAACCAGAAGCACCTACTAACGCTACAACTAATGTAAGGTAAATCACAAGGCATTGTAAGACTAAGGGTGAAATAAAATGAGAAGTTCAAATGTTTTAACGATATCCAGTATCCATTTGTTAATAATTAATTCAACAATCTATGTTATAGTATTTCCTGACTAAGAAGCAGTCAAGCAATTCTTGATGATGTAACTTATTTAAGTATGTAATGAAGTTATTTAAAGAAATTTGAGCTACTCATGAAATTCAAGTGCAAACATTAAATAAGTTACTATATTCCGTGAGAAAAACGTCTCAATTTCTGAATTAAAACAGGACACAGCGACGCCAATTAATTCGTCATTATAAATACATATTAACAGTTGTTTAATTAGGAAATTTAAAAAAATAAATAAATACAGACGAGAAAGATAAAACGATAACAGGACGTGTGTGAGTGTTCCTAATCAATATAGTGCGCTCTTTGCCCCCACAACTAGGTTTAACCGGTTCAACAGGTTTTATAATTTATACAGCTCATTAGGTTTTGTCACATATAATGTGGGGTGCTCACACCGCATTGAGCACGAGAAACGAGTGACTATGTGGATTGTATGCGGAGGGAAAAGTATGCGGAGTGAAAAGAACTGTGGAAATGTTGAATTTATGAATTTAGCAACATATTTCATTAACAAATTGAATTATTCAACGAGACAAGATTATAAGTTTTATAAGCTTTAATAAAAGTTGAATACCGTAGATCAACAACAGCTCTAAACAAAGGGGAATGTGACCTTTGCTCTGGTGAGCGGCTTGAAGCCAATAACTGTTGGCTTTAAGCCAACTTTAAGCCAACGGGCGCCCCGGATCTGTAATCTTATGCCAAAACATCATGATAACGGTAAATAAGCAAACAAGTGACTGTAACTTTGAACTCAAGTAAAGCTGCCACGGTCTGGTAACTTCAGGTTACCGAACATGCATATTTGTACGCATAAATGTAGTATATAATATTATGTAGTATATAATATTATGAGTGTAAATGCAATATTTTGCTGATAGAAGGATCTTGAACTTGACTAAATCCTAATTGATCGAGTGAAGGTATAAATCCCCGGTGAGCCAGTGCGGTTTCCAATAAAAACTATTTTCTGATAAGTGGAAGATGGCCGGGCTGAAGTAACGTGAGTCACTAAAGTTGCTAGTAACCACTGAGTTACTAGATCTGCACAGTGGTTACTATATCTGCATAGTGGTTACTATATCTGCATAGTGGTTTTTGATAACAACGAGTAAGCACTATTCTTAGATAATTGGAAGACGACCTGGCCTGAAGTCACCTTGTATTTCTATAAGAGTATAAGAAGTTACAACCCTGAATCTACCGTCTGATAAACTAAATAGCAGTACACAGCACATGCATGATTAGACTCCACCAGACTAAATAATCACATGATCATAGGACAAAGATCAGTGTTATATTTTAATAAAATATAACACTGTAATTTTAATAATCTTTAAAGCACTGCTTAACAATTAACATGTCACAGCCGTTAATAACAAAGATTTACAAACATTGAGCAGTAAGCCGGGAGCAGCCTTGTTCTACAGACACATTCTAGATTGAAAGCGTCCGTGAACACATATACTTATAGACACATTTTTTTTATTATTAAATACTTTTCAAATTTTACAGAGTACAGCAATAGATGAATATAAAATAGAATCGTTCAAAATATCGCCCCCATCTGTAAAATATGATGGGCACCCAAACACGGTAAACACATAGTGAACTATGTCCGCAGTAACTTGGACCCATTACATCGAATTAATCTAAATCCAAAAATTTATGAAAAACTATTTAAGAACAAACAAATCCATGGTGAATAACTGTGGATATAGAGTCAAAATTGGTATTTCAATACGTCAAATTCCAGATACATTAGATACAGGTCTGAAATGGTCATTAATGTGTGAGAAGGTGTGCGGGTGAAGTGTGATATGAAGTTGAAAGTATAGGAAGGTAGATAAAAAAATTAATAAAACAAAAATAATAATAATATGGGGAGCAAAGAGACTAGGCTAGACTGTTGTTTCACTATCCAATAAACATTTCCATAGATGCTTAGTGACCTCAGCTTTGAAAAGACTAGTAGACACAATCTGTCTTACCTGTAAAGGGAGTCCATTCCACAGTACCTATATGGGTTCTGTAGAAAAATGATTTTGCCAGTGGGCTATTTGAGGTACATGTGGTGTGTGAATTCTGACTTAACTTAGGTAAAATTGATGACACAATAGACAGACTGTCGAGGTGGCAACGTCTTAGTCGAGAAGTGCCCTGATATAAAGAGAGATAGTGAGGCAGCGATACAGGAATTAAATTGTTAAGAACTTTGTGGAAAAAAATAAGATCATTCAAGTCAAACTTTTGAGACAAAGGGAGAATGTCGACAAGCTTGCACTTTTTGACATATTGCTCAGGTGGATAACTGCGGCCCTCTTCAGACAGAATCCATTTAATAGCTCTCTTTTGGAGACTTTCTAATTTATCACTAAGTGATTTATTACAAGGGCGCCAGATTATGGAACAATTTTCGAATTGGCTACGAACCAGGGAGAGGTAAAGCGCCCGGCGACGTTTCTGATCAATGACAATATGGCCATCTCTTCTGACCATACCAAGTTGTTGGCAGGCCTTAGTATAAATTCTGTCGCACTGACTATTCCAACTTAGCTTAGGAGTAACATCGACTCCAAGATCTTTTTCTAACTCTACATACACAAGAGGAGAGCCATCAAGATTATATGCGAATGGAGGAGATAAAGATGGTTTTCCTGAAACAATAAGCACTTTACATTTTGCTGGATGGAATCGCATTTTGTTTCTTAGTGCCCAGTCAGAGAGATAGTCTATATCCATTTGTAAATTAGTATTATCAGAAGATGAATGTATTTTACGCCAGATTTTTGTATCGAAAATAAAAAAATAAAAAATTAAAAACTTTTTTTAATTAAAAAAAACGTATGATTGATAAAACGTATGATTGATAAAACAATTATTTATTTCTACGGCACGATGTAGTAATATCAATAATGGTAAGTAAATCAGAGGAGGCTTGAGGAGGTTTCAAATTCCGAAGGTCGCCGCTTATCGTAATTTTGAGAGCGATTGTGCTTGAAAGTAGCTGGCGGACACATAAAGTTAAACGGGTGTAGACCTACAAACGTTTAGCAGTTAGTTTGAGGCCTACTCACGTTACATGTACCAAGTCGTGTAGCTTTATTTGATTTGATTAAGTAGTGCTATTGAGTCTCATTTGATGATTCTTTCAAGAAATTTTCTGATTAGAAAATGGTCATCACTGAGTCTATTCAGAAAAAATCAAACATTTTCTTGAAATAGCCCTACTCTCGTAACACACGTATATAATAGACATTTTATGGTAAAGAAAGGAGAGTAAATCTCAGATTAATAAAATATATACTTCCTGCGCACTGTAGGTCACTACTACTCACATTTTTAGGATTTGAGAAGCAGGTTTTGGAAAATGATAAGCAAGATCTACTACTCTCATTTTTAGGATTTGAGAAGCAGGTTTTGGAAAATGAGAAGCAAGTTCTTCACATGTCAAGCATGAACTTGTGAATTTTGTGAATCGTGCTCGTTGTGTATTTACGAAGGTATTTTCGCGAAAGAACGCAACAACTTCGAAACTATAATATGTTAATTATGTAAAAATTAAGATAAACAACAAAGGACGCACGTGGATATTGATATGATCAGTATACCATTTGATGGGTGCGCTGAAAAGCATGCAACATCACAGTTATACTGTACTAGGTTTACTTCATCTGACACCAGTAAACCAGTTAACTGTTCAGTTGTAAGCTCACTAAACGGCCCCTTTAAACGTCTACCCAGTTGGTGGACTTAGCCTTCCTACTTAAAGTACCTTAGTTCCCAAAAATTTGTGTGCCATTATATTGAGCACAATTTATTTGAGCCCGAAAAATTTGGGCAGAAAATTTGAACTCATTTGGGCGACCGAAAATTTGGGCACAAATTCTTCGAAAAATGAACGATTTTCCACGAAAATTTCAGTT